CCGATCTCTTGACGATTTAACAATTAACTTGTCCATGTGCTTACGAATCGTCTGTCGCATAATTGGACACGAAACGCGCAGTTTTGCATCGTCACCGCCTCCTCTCACATTTGCATTCTGATCCAGATTTACTCGGATTGCCGGCTTCCTCCATCCGGCACACTCCCTTCATGAAAATTTCCGACCGCTTTTTAGAAACTTCCGCGTAAGATATAATGTATTTTTTCTATCATGATAAAAAATTACGCGTACGAATCTTTTATCTAATTTTATATTTTACGAAGATGAATCATTTTTCTTTAATTTTACCATTTTCGTTAAAGCTTTTCAGTTTGCATTAAAAATTGTTATTAAAACTCTTCAGCTATTAACACTATTATTATTAAATCGGTAAAGAGAGTTTAAAAAGATGTCAGTAAAATATTATTATAAAAATAATATTAAAGACCGAGAGAATTATACAGTAATTCACAAATAAATTCTTAAAATAAGAAGTAAATATGCTTATCTGTTTGTTTACAATCATTTCGTTAATACATCTCGGTTACCTAATTAATTACCGGAGTAGAAGAAAAGTCGGGAAAGATGACAGTTGGTAAAAACAATGGTTGAAAAGAATATTAAATATTATATTATAAGAAAGGAAAGATGCGAAAAGATTCACTCGCCGTCTAACTTGAATAAAAGCTTAGTTATATATGCTCTCTCTCTTAAACTTGAATAAAAGATAGTCAGAAATAAAAGCCTCCGCATGCTTGGGCTTAACATTTAGATAACCCCGTAATAATAGCATTACAAATTTTATATTATCGAACCTTTTATCTCTTCCTAGCGAGATTCATGCCTATGCTTAAGAGAACCCTTTCCATAACGACGATACAATGCACTATAATGTGCCCGGAAATGGTGTCACCTATTTTGCATAAATCCACGGAATTTAAATTTACAACTTTTATACAATTCTTGTGTGTATGTTGCGTTTTATACTAATGTTCTTTTACAAAATGCAATATATTTGATAGTGGAAAATTCTTTAAAAATAAGACATATATGTATACTCGGCTATCAATTTTTCAACAAAATAAGCAGACACTAGAATATTACAAAAATTTATAAATTCTGTAAAATTATTTTATTTTTTTTTAAATAATGTTGGGAATATATATATAATAGAATTATACAGCACACATTGCTTAATTTTTTAAAAATTAAAAAAAAATAGAATTTTGTAAAAAAAAAAGTAAAATGTTAAAATTTTGTAAGAAAAAAAAGGAAAATCAATTTGCAAAAATTTATTTTTTGCCTTCTATTTATGATCTTATGGTAAACAATAAAAATAATTGTTATTATCATAATTTTGTATGAACTATTAATAAAACAAAATATGATGCAATATATTAATTGTTATAATATAACATTACGAGAAATCACGAAAATGTAATTTTTTCTTTGAAAAATTCTCTTTTATTATCATGTCATGTAAGTAATTGAATTCAACATTATTTAGCCCGCAATAATCTGTCACAAAACCGTTATAATTTTTTATTTAACGTTACGGCAAACTTCGCTAGCAAGTACGTTCCTCTCATGTCGCATCGATGAAACAAAATTACGTGACTCCTACCGGCTAGTAATTAATTATCGCCCGAGCACATAGTAATGAAATTTCACGACTCCCGATGGACGAGAGCATCGGGTCACTAGAAATAAAATTATTGTAAAGTGATGCGGTTATGTCAAGACCTTCGGGTCCTGGAAAGACGCAATTAGTCTCGCATACATGGAAATTATATTACTATGGGAAGAGCACAGAAAATACATATTCTCGAAAAAGCATTTACAATTTGTAATTTTGAATTGAGTCAATAAAAAGTTATTCTCCTTCCATTTTTGATATAATACAAAATTCATTTTTAAAGTCTAAAAAGAAGTCCAAATTTTATACATATTTATACATTATATATATACATATATATATAATATAATGTATAAATATGTACATACATAGATGTGGATGACAAAAAATATTTAAGTAACCTTCGTTTAAAATAAAATTTTAATTGTTCTATTAGGTCTATATATCAATATTGTAATTAATAAAATACACCTCAATGAATACATATCGAAAAAAATAAAAGCTCTTTCTAATGCATTTGTTTAAAACGACTAAGGAATATAACAAAGCTCGTGAATTTGGAAGAGAAATGCAAATTGTAATACAAAAAGAAAATTACTGAATATTAATTATTGCATATTCACAAATTCATTATCAGCTGTTATCATTCCTATAAAAAAACATTTGAACTGTCGGAATTGATAGCAAATTTCTGATTGTGGCAACAAAGTTTCAATATAGTTTATAAAATTATTCTTTCTCATTCCAAGATTAAATACAAATAAACTTATCCATTTTAATAATTATAAAGCTTTCCGTATTTCCAATTTGATTTCTTTTATCAAGAAAGAAGAAGATTAAATTGTCTTTTGTTTTACTGCTCTGTCTACACTGCGAAGATGCAATGCATTTAATATTAGCACTAGAAAGACTCATTAAAAAAATAATAGTAGCATAAAAAGTATTTCAAAATTATGGCTTCAAAATGAAAGACTATTTAACGTGCGCTATAATGTACAATGGCAATATTGCGGAAAACACAAGCTGCAAACTTACATATTTGAAATACACATGTCGATGAAACAGCGTTTTGATTGCTTATGTGTTTGCATACAGTTTACATACAATTACAGCAACTTATGTGTTTGCATACAGTTTGCATACAATTACAGCAACACACGTTGCTGTAATTTAAATCCAACGCAATATACATAATTTATACAAAGTAATGAAAAGAATATTTTCAGCAAATTCTACGTCAACATCAACTTACTAATTACCGATTTTTGCAAACATACACGCGTCATATATTTAATAAATTCCATTTTAATAAAATATTTTATAAATATTCTCTTTCTCTCTTTCTCTCTTTTCCTTTCCCCTTCTCTCTTTCTCTGAATTAAACTATGAATAATGTAATATTTTTCTAATCAAAAACACATACACGAATTGAAAACAAACAATGAATATGAGAAATTTTTAATAACAATTTAAAAAATATATATCCCCTAAAAATAATATAAATTTCTTTCTTAAATTTAAATATTTTAATAGCATATAGCTGGAGTATTTCAGAGAAAAACAGCGGCATTGCAAAAATTAAATGATTTAATTGCATACTCGATTACGCCTGCATAATTGATATTATGTCGTGATTCTGTAAAAGCAGAACTTTATAATTAGCAAATGTCATTCGTGTATCAAGATGAATCTTCCGTTGGAGCGCGGTATTCTTAGAACTTCGATTAAACTCACCCGCAGCTTTTTCTCTTAGTTTCTTCTTTCAATATTACACCTATTCATCTGCTCGTAAAAAGCTTTATGACCCGCGAGATTTTTTACTTTACAAACCGTTAGAAAAATTAGTGATCTGCAAATCCTATATTCGTATTCTGAAAACAATATGAGCATGAAAATAAATCTGTTATAAATATTGCACATCGAGAGAAAGAGAAAAACCTTTAAAAACTGCAAAATAGAATTTTAAGATAAACTTTTTCTGTTTCACAAACAGAAAAGATAATTTCTTTTTTTATATTATAGTAAACTTAATTTCACTTTAATAAAATTGCTTGTTCTCTTAACTCGAATCGATAAATATGTGTGTATGTATGTTTGAAGCTGATATAATATTTAATGGAAATTCATAATTTTTTTATTTTAATTGTTACAATTATTTGTTTAAATTATCAGGAGCTACAGAATTATTAAAAATAAAGCTATCATTTGTTATAATTTCTGAATTTTATATGATGCGTCAGCTTTACTCACACGATAAATACGTCACGCAAATAAATTTCCAAGATGTTACGTGCACTCTGTGAATGTATTATTCATCGATTCAGGAATTACAATCTTGTGGAAGCACACTCGGCAATTAAACGATCTCCATATCATCGAAATACGAAGCGTTAAACTCAACGATCAACAATAAACTCAATTTCTTCTGCATTACCAGTTCTATTGCAAATTTTAGAGTAACATACACGCAAATTCCTGGGTAACTCATGGATAATTCATGGAAATATTAAACTATAATTCGATATAAATTTGAATTACAAAAAACAAATTTTTCGAAAAAAATAGGTAGAAAATAAATTAAATTTTTTTTATACTAGATAAAAAAATTAATAGTGTTGTTATAAAATATATAGATATTACTTAGATTACTTAAATATTACTAGTATTATAAAATCTAAAGATGACTTTATTCTATAACATACTTTATGTTTTAACAATCGATAAATTTTGTGATACATATGGAAATAAGAGAACAATGTATAAAATAAGACGCAATTATGCTCGATGTCCGCATAAGAAGTTCGATTATAGAAGAAAATTGAGAATTTGTTCAGCTCACTAAATTGTGATTCGCATAATTTTATTGTTACGGACGGAAAAGAGGCACACATCCACGAAGTAGCGCACCAGCCAAAAAACCAAAGAGTTTTTCTCAATACGCAATTTCCTGTCATCACGAATCGTTTCGATCGCGAATGCAATATACGAACGTTCCATTTTTCGCGCATATATTCACTGTTTTTCAGTGACCTGATTCCCAATTGACTACCAAAAAAGAAAAAAAAAATTGCCTGGCTCACGGTCCGCACAGAACTGTAAAGTGGTTTATTTTGACAATGCAATCTGCTCTAAAGAAAAAAAATTAATTTTTGAAAAGTTTTTCACATTTTGCATTTATTGAAAAGAAGCGAATATGTACTTTTGCAAATTTAACGTTATTTCATTCGTCTTTGTCTCATTTAACGATATTTGAAGTGTAAAATATCTGGCAAAGCTATTCTTTCAAATTATTATCTTTGCACGTGTTTTAATATTATCATTAAAAGTGTTATCATTTTTATTCAAGTATTTCTTAATTTTCCAGCTTGCAATGTATGGAGCGACGTCACGCCGCGAAAATATCGACCACCGCGAATTGGTGACATTCCAAAGTAAGTAACTTTATTTTTTCAATGGATGCAGTTAAGTCAAACTAAGAACAAATAATTTAAAAAATTACAATCCTTAATAAATAACTCTTAAAAAACATTTTTACATTAAAAAATTGATATATACACATATATTGTACATTACCTTGTTATCAATGCAATAATAAAAAAAATGTTTTTTATTCCTTTATAAAATTTGAAAACACTTGATAAATATGAAGAATTATATTGACTTAACTGTATATCACTCAATTCGAATCATCAAGACAGAAGGAAATTCCATTTATGTCATGCACAGCCATTTAAAACGACCAAACAACCATTATACTATTTATGTATAGACAGTTATTGTTCTGCAACGTTTATCATGATAATATCGCTAATCGGTTCGCTTAACTACCTAAAAAAAGGTGCCTCTATTTCGAGAATACTACGCCACATGACGATGCTCTTGATTACGTAAATGCGCGATATAAATGCAGACGTATTTAAGCAAGCATACATCTACAGATGTATGCTTGCTTAAATATGACAGAAGAGAAGATGAACTATGCAGTTTCCGTTTCTATGAAACGATAACATGATATATGTTCCGGAAGACTGATGCGAATGGTTTTCAAAGAAATAAATGCATGACAATAGTTTCAATTAATGCCGCGTCGATCAAAATGTTTTGTACATATTAATCTATGCCTAGCCCAGTTTCAGTATAAATGCATCGGATTTAACTAAAATTCGTTTCTATAAGTTTTAAAAAATCGTATTGCTACTAAATGATATTTTCACTTAAAATATATTTATTATTGTAAAATCAACCAAGAGAGAAAGTATTAAATTATAATTTTGCAAAACAATAAACAAATTACATTTTATGGATAATTTATATATCATTTTATCATAAATGAAAAACAGGAGTCAAACAAATAAACCGTCATAAATATTAATAGAATGAAACAGAGCAGGAGATCAATCGTGACAACGATGATCTCAACACTCTAAGATTTTACACTCGAAGATTTTACATTCGATTATACAATCGAAGCAAACACAAAACATCTTATTTTCGACGATAAACCGCCCATTGATTAAATCCGACCTTCGACACTATCGTCCTGTACTTGGATGGAGAAGCAAGGGAAAAAAGGAAAGGAGGAAGTTCAAGGAGGACGGCCTAAACTGCCATAATGTATCACGGCATGCGAATAGATATTTTTAACCACACAGTCGAAGCCGATCGATATGTACCAAGGCGGCCAGAGGTTTGTGTCTAAATAATTGCACCTTTGCCCTCGTCAAAGACAAAAACCACACCGAGTTCTTTGACATCGTCTTCGCGTTAAAGATTCAATATTCGCTTCCTTACGTCAAAGAAGTCTTTTAATAGACCATTCGATGTCTCGATCCAGGAAGAAATTTCGAAAATTCGTAAGCATCGCGATATATCATCGCAATTATCAGCAGAAGTAACTCGTGAAAGAGATAAGAATCTTCTTTTAATAAATAAAGATTTCGGTACAAAAAAGTTGAAATTAACAAACATAACTACTCGTCAATAAACATACATTTCTAAAGCTAATGTGATGACATCGATAAATATCGCTGTCGCAATATATTTACACAAGCTACAATAAGAAAACTAAGCGAAAATTGCGAGAACGGACGACGCAAGATATTTTAAACTCCAGTCGATCGATGGCCAGGCCATTACTGCTTAAATTATTGAATCTCGCGGGGCTAACCGATACGCGAGAGTGGCGATGCGAGCACGATGGTGATCGACTAACTCTCTTTTTCTCGAAAGGTCGCCTCATATTTTTTCCCATTTTTCTTCTCCTTTTTTTATTATTACTTGCCGGAATCATATTTATTTCAATGCAATATAAAATGATGACAATATGCATTGAGCAATGCTAGGTCGCGTACGACAACATAGCCTCGATCGCGCGCAACATTCTAAATACTTTTATTGTCCGAGATAGAACGAGCACGAAATCTCGGACAGCTGTGTCAATGTCGAATTTCGTCGTTAGAAGTTTCATAATATTTGTATTTCCATATGTATTGTTCGTTCTAATATCTAATATTGTTGATATATTAGATGCACGTTATATCCCCCTGTCTGCATTATTAAATTAAAATAAAAATCTGTTAATATCTCTCTTATCTAAAATTCTATTAATATAATTTAAACTTTTGAAGATATTCGTATTTGAAGTTACTCAAAATACTTCTATTCCAGAATATATCAATAGAACATAATGGACAATTTTCGAAAGGTTACCAATCAATTTTTATAATTTTCTCTTGATTAATAAAAAATCTCTCTCTCACACAAATAATAAGTTTGTCTACTTTCAATTTACAAACGCAAAATTTCAAGACACGTCTTCGTATTGTACTATACATTATGAAGCATTATAGAAAATATACGAATTATTTGCATACTAAACTTCAACTTATAATATTTTTAAGAGAGAGAGAGAGAAAAGAGAGAGAGAGAGAGAGAAAAGAGAGAGAGAGAGAGAGACATACTCAAACTCTCTTATTCTCTATAGGGAAATTAAAGTACAAACAGTATCAATTGCAAAGAGCAAATACCGTGAATAACGAGATATTTCTTCCAAAATACTGATCGCAAAATCTCAGCAGTTCTACAGTACGACATTATTGACATTCCATTTTCCCACGAGATCTATATAACGAGATGTCGCTAAATGTATTTACATTTATGTCGCCACAATCTCGATAACAATTCCATGAAATTATAAAAGTTTCTATCATTTTTAAGACACACATAACGATACACAATTCTTCCATATGATATGGAAAACAATAAAATTTAGTAATTAAAAAAACTTACGATCTTATGAAAAATTTATTTATATATTTATATACATGAATGTGTACAAATGTCATACACACAATATCTTATCATTTATAAAATATATAATTACTTTTATAGACCAAATGTCGGTGTAAACTGGCAGTAACGAGCCAAGCGCGGTATAAAGAGCGCAAACACTGTTTATTAATTAAAATAAATAGAATACATTAATCGCGGACGTTTCGGCCCTTTTTTGGGGCCATCTTCAGCGCGGAAAACAAAATAATACGGTCTTAAATAACTAAACGCAACTGCGACGTTCGGTGATGCATCCCGTGGATCTCTTACGCAACCGGCGACATCCCATCATTAAGAGAATCCATGTCCTTCCAAAGGTAATTCCTCGAATTTCTTGGGTGGTAGATAGACATGGCAGTAAAATGCACAGGTTGACACTGACCAATCGTAGGTGTAATCGGAGAACTACACTCTCCAACTCACGGAGGAACAATGAGACAAACTATTGTTCATGATACATTAAAACGGTACATATGACATAATGTTGATATAGCTAGGTTGTCAACCAGACGTTAATAAACAATAAAAAACACGCAAATAAATAACACGATCCCGTGACAATGTGGAACGATTGACGCAAACGGTAAAATTAAATAACAAAAATTATAATAAAAGTCGAGAATAATAAGATTAAATTGTTGACAAGGAGCGAAGCTTATCAAGAGCGGTAACAATAAATACCTAAAAAACGCCATAAATATGAAACAGTGACAATCGGTAAACATTTCNNNNAAGAGATCCACGGGATGCATCACCGAACGTCGCAGTTGCGTTTAGTTATTCAAGACCGTATTATTTTGTTTTCCGCGCTGAAGATGGCCCCAAAAAAGGGCCGAAACGTCCGCGATTAGTGTATTCTATTTATTTTAATTAATAAACAGTGTTTGCGCTCTTTATACCGCGCTTGGCTCGTTACTGCCAGTTTACACTGACATTTGATTTTAGTCATACGAGCCGTACATTCAATTATATAATTTACTTTTGTAGACTTACAAAAGTCTGTAAAATAATCATTAAAAGATGATTATTCAAATTTGTTTCAGCCTACGATCTCTTTAAGACGCATCTTTGATGCAATGTAATATATATCATTTCGTCTGTCACTCTTTATAAAACAGTACATACATGTTTTATATATAAGTGACATTCACTGTTATTCACGTATGACGTTCTATCGTCCTCTTCTCTTTCATTTTCCTCGAACAATGTAATTCCGTTCTGAGAAAGAACCATCTCGCAATCAATCTCGACAACTTGATGAGTGTGAGAGATAAAAGAATTGAAAAAAAAAGACTACGGAAAAGGATAGAAAAATGACGAAATGTACGAGAAACATGGGAGAAGAACGAAACATGCACGGAAGTTAACCGCGCGCGCAGAAAATCGTCAGTTCCTGCTCCGTTAAGCTTGCATTGGTTTGTGGAATTTTCAGTTCGCTGGAGCGCATCAAAGCGAGCTTTTCAGCTACGAATGGGTCCTCCTGCATCCGACGCATACGCCCATAACGCGCGGACATCGCCGAGTTTTCGTGCATTATTTCTCAAATAAATCAAAACGCGACACTGAAAAAAACTCATTCCTGTTTCCAATATCTGGCAATCTCAGATGAACCTTTCCTATCCTAAATACGAATTTTCGCATCTACGTCTCGCAGCTTCATATATAAAATGTATGAAAATCCTTCAACGTGATTACTAATAAATACGTAATGAACATATTCCACCAATTTTCTTTAATAGTTCGTTAATTTTTGATATCATCTGTGTACAAAAATTTATAAATTCATTAAAAACTTTTCATCTTTGCCAAAAAATGACGAAATGTACGAGAAACATGGGAGAAGAACGAAACATGCACGGAAGTTAACCGCGCGCGCAGAAAATCGTCAGTTCCTGCTCCGTTAAGCTTGCATTGGTTTGTGGAATTTTCAGTTCGCTGGAGCGCATCAAAGCGAGCTTTTCAGCTACGAATGGGTCCTCCTGCATCCGACGCATACGCCCATAACGCGCGGACATCGCCGAGTTTTCGTGCATTATTTCTCAAATAAATCAAAACGCGACACTGAAAAAAACTCATTCCTGTTTCCAATCTCAGATGAACC